CTGATAGATTCGAAAAAGAGTCTCGTGGACGAAACGAGCAGTTCGTGTTACGTTCGAGAGGGTTTAAAAGTGTCCGCGAGATCCCAAACAACCCCCTGGGTTGTGCAACACACACCACCACCACCGCTCCCCCGCGTATCCTATTTCGAACGATTCTCTGGACAAACCCCGCTCCACCGCCTGGGCTGTCAGGCGCACAACCTCGGGGAAACTCCAAAGGCACGCGAAATTTCACTTTGGACGCCGGAAAATGAAAACTGAATCCTTCCTGTCGTCCCCAATGGCCGAACACGCCGCTGAAAGCGATCCTCGATTTGTTAGCTAGCCTTTTCGAGCACGATAACGCGATAACGAGACGGACTTTACCCCTCTCTGTCGCCACTGGCTCAGCAAAGTGGGACTTCTAGGCTCTCCTATGGCTCTATTTAAATTTTAGTTTGCAGAATAGATCGTTGGACACGTGGTGGTCACCGGTGACCGGCGATTTGAACTCACGATGCGTTGCAATATTTAGATTGAAAGAGCTCTGAGACTCGTGGAATTGCAAATAACGCTAGTTTGATTCGAAATATTGGAAAACAAAAATTCAAAAAATGAAAAAACTCGAAAATTTGAAAAATTTCAAATCGTTTTGAAAAAATTATTTTTGAGTGGAGGGCTCAATTACAATCATTTTTGGTGATTACACATACCCTCGAAATTCTACCCACTTTCCAGAAAAAAATTATTTCTTACAATTAAGCTATATTTGAAACAAATGTTTAACGTGTTTGTAACTGTTTTGAAGTTTCGGGGATTAGCAGGCTGTAAATAGACCCACCATTGACGAGACAGTGATTTCACGGTGCCAGGAAATATCGAGTTTAAACGTTCCATCGAACACGGAATTATTATTTCCGCGCGACGCTAACGAATCGTTATTATTTTCGCGGGAAATAAAAGCGTTTAATAATCAGTCCGGGCTGTAACAACGGGACGATCGCGGGAATTAAAATAGCGCGAAACGCGACGCGCAAATTGTTCACAAAGGGAACAAAGCAACGCGCAACCTGCAAATGGATAAACAGCGAATCGATAACAAAGGGGGACGGGTTGACAAACGATATTACAAATATTCGTTCGACAGGGGGATTACCCAGGACGGAGCGACCTTAAAACGCAAGGTAAACGCCAGAAAACAATTTACGAAACAACAGCCCGCTATCTCCAGGAGATTTTCCATTAGATTGTGTTCATCGATAAGCGCGAAATGGAGGTCCATAGTCATCCTACGGGGAGGAGAAAGCGCGAAATACGGGTGGAAGATAAGATTACACTGGTTGTTCAAGGGATGTTAACGATCTGGAAAACCTCACGTATCGTGGAAGCTTCTGGGTGCATCGTCCCTACAAATTATTTTTCCCCCGCAACGTTTGCTCGCTGCGAGGGAAAATATGTCCGCCATTTTGTATTCGTTCTGCTAGGTAAGCTTGAAATTTAAGTATCTTCCACGTTGCACTATTCGTTAATTGATAAACGATAGCAATTTATCCAGGAGAAAGGTGATTGTTTATGTAGAAATGTGTAAAAAAAAATATATAAAACACTGATTATCCCAATAAATAAATAAAAAAATTAATATTGAATTTTAAGGGGTTCACAAATGACCTCCAAAGGACTCCGACGATGAATGATAAATTAGAGGATGAGATTTTCTAAGAAAAGGATTTTGGTAATAGCAGAGGATCGGAAATGCGTGGAGTATATCCACAACTTCCGGTTGACCTGGCCCGGTACGCGTTCCACGGCCGAAATTTTGGCTAGCTCGGTACTGCGAACCGGAAGCCACGCGGATCGATATCTCGATTCGCGTTCCGGCGGCCGCACTGTTTATGGACGGATGATTATGAGCTCGTTCAACGTCCATCGGCGAATCCGACGAACAAACGCACGCGAGCAGTATAAACGCTTTTAACGTAATTTACAATAATTGGTGGAAATTTGCTCGTCCGGTTGGAGAAAAAAAAAATAACTCGTTTTTTCCCCCAGAGAAATTCCCGATCCTTTTGTTGACCAATCTAGCTTGACACTATAACTGCAATTTGATTCTATGTGCACCCCGATGGAGCATAATTAACCCTCTGCAGTTCGAGAATTCATTTTGATAGAAGCAACTTGAATGCAACCTAAATCGTACTTGAATCAAACTGGAATCAAGCTTGAATCAAACTTGAATTTACCCATTTTAAGGAATATTGAAGTTGTTCTTTTTCCCTCCAAAAAAAAACACAGAAAACCGACCATTTTCTAATTGCTACTGAACGCAAGTTTATCGATCAAAGATTGAAAGTATGCTGTGCTCACCATTCTAACGAATTTCCCGAGGGATGTTTAGAAGATTATCTTCTGGTCTCCTAGAATTCTTTATTTCTTCCCTAGCTTTCTTAACAAGAGAATATTTAAATGTGAAACTTACGTGACACGAGACTCTCTCTGGTAATTCTGTTACCGAGAAGATATCTTTTATATTTTCGATGTATCGACTACCTATCTCGGTGAATATTATTTTTACCGTGTTTCAGAATAATTGCACCGCCATTTTGAATCGTGCCTCGGTTCGAAAATAACGTCCCCGGTCCGGATTTCACCCAATCGATCCCATCTTTTCTTAAACCCGACAAGAAAGGTCATATCATTTGCCCGGATGGAATAAAATCAAACGCATTTCGCAGCTTGGAACGTTCAGGTCAGTTATGTCCACTATTTCGCCCAGTACTATGTATCAACCGTGTAGTCTGGCGTGCACTATGTTCCCAGTGGTTGTGGCCCGCTGAATGGTCAATCCGGATTGATCCTACGCGCAGATTTAAATTAAAACTCAACGACGACTGTTCCATCGCAGCCTTGAAGCGCTACACAACGAACATTGCATGCCCCCAACGAAAAGCTTTTGATATTTTTCGAACGAACAGCGAACGTTTCAAAGCCCCGCGGACGAATTTTTTCCAAAAATCTTTCGCCCTGTTACAAGATTATTTTCCACACGAACGATCAATAGAAAACGCAGCAATTAATTAGTCCAAGTAGCCATCCAGATAGTGTCTCAACAATCTACCGTGTGTTTTTTTTGTTTATTCGAGCTGTTCTCTAACGGAGTGGGATTTCCCAAAACGCGAGTTAGAATTTCAAACAACGAATAATAAATCTCGATGGGAGGCGGGGATTTCGGTGGGAAATCGCTCAATTTACGCGTCAATTTCAACGAAAAATATAGTCGCTAGACACGTGAAAGTAACAGGCACAAAAAAATATCGAAAACTGTACGTTTTAACTACTGGTCATCGACGAGATAAATCTTCCAGGATAATTAGACGAGTTAGATTTATAATCAACTGGAAATATTTTTATTAATAAAAATAATTTTTTATCTTCTTTTGTCTGGCAAGTGGTACTATGTTACACGCTAATGAGGCGTCTCGTTTATGGAATAAATAAATTAAAGATCGTCTTCTGGCTGTGTTTGGACCGTGATTTCGATTCGTTAAATCGAAACTTAGTTTCACCGTCAAGCGTGAGCGCCGGTTAACGCAGTTATTTAACTTCTAACCGACCAGTCGCGCGAAACAGTTCGTAAAAAGCGTCCCGCGAAGGGTGGGCCGGCTGATTGAGCGCCGGGGATATAAAATTCGCAAAGTTTGGAATTACGGCTCGGTCGTGGACAGATCTAATTACCACGGGCGACGCACGAGCGCTGGAAATTCTCGTTCGAAAGAATCGGACGATCGTTCTGACCGGGCCAGAAACGTATAAAACGGGCATTCGACGGGCGAGGGGGGGTGAGGGGTTGCTCGCGGAATATTAGTATCGGATTACTTAAGACTCAACCGAGATTTCCTCCGGATTACATTGATTCCCAATACAGGTTATCGGTTCCCGATACAAGCGTCAAGAAACATTTCGAGGAATGCTGCTTACAGCAAAGATGACCTCGAGACAGAGGCGTATGAAATTACCTAGAAAAAATAAGGGGTGGCTCGACCTCCATTCGCTACATTGTGGTATAACAAGCATACTAAACGTCCACCATGATCGATCCACGAGAATATTTTTTTATTATTGGAAAATTGCAATTTTTTTAAATTGTATTTTTATTAACTGTTTCGAAATTTAGTTGGGAGTTTTTTCATGTTTCTTTTTTTTTTTACAATCGTTGGAATATAAATAAAATTGTATTCTGACAAGTGACTGTTTTAGTAATAATAATTAAAATTGGGAAAAATTCTTTGAACGTAGAAAATAATATTTTTGTTAACAGAATTAGTGAAATGCTTTGTAGGGGGTTGTCTCAACCCCCAAATTATTATATTTTTTTATATTAAGTGGATTTTGGATTTTTTTGAGAATTAAAATTCCCCCATAAATTCATAAACATCCACAGTGTAAAATGAAGATGAATAATAATTATTCGTTATTAATAAATAATAATTAGAATTCCAAAAAATTGCAATTTTTTCATTCAAAATAAATGATCGAAGAAGTGTTTCTTTGGTGGTCGAAGATGAATGAATCTTGCTTATCAGCGTATAATTTACGGGTTAGTGGGGTCCGTGGAGGTGCATAACGCAATTTCCATTGGTTCCAAAGGAGGGAAAAAGACCCAGCTGGGTAGAAACGCGACTGAGGCGAAGAAGAAGCGCGGAAAAACGAGGTCGTCGACCGTGTCCCTGGTCGGCCTCGTTTTTACGTCGAGGGGGAGGGAAAACAGCCTCCGCTCGACGCCCTTCGACTTCGCGAACTCGAACCAATCGTTCCCCCCGGAGCAATTATTTAAAACAAAACGCCAGAGGCTGTGTGGGAGGGGGGGTAAATTTTAAAACGAGAAAATTGCCTCTGTACACGAACGAGACTTCCAATTTCGATGTTTGCGTCTTCACGATGTGTACACGATGCTCGAAGAAACGTTATGCTCGAAATAAAATGTCTATAGTTTTCGTGGAAACACAATTTTTTTCGAGCCTCACCCAATTCGGGACCGCAGACTCTCGGTATGATTTCCAGAATCGCGCTGCAGGATGGATCCTCGAAGCACAATTGACGAGCGTAGAGACAGTTCAGTATGGCCACTGGTACTTTGATGTCCGAACCTGAAAGCAAAATCGAACGTCGGTTAGAAAACAACGATTTTTCCGAAAGTGGAAAAAAAGCGGATAAAAATATTCCCGCGCGTACCTTTGACAAAGCATTCCTGGGGTTTTTTTTTTTTGTAAACAGTAATAATTCCAATGGGTTGTTTCGACGTGGAGAGATCGCGATAAACAAGAACAATGGACAATATTTTTATGTTATTTTTTTGCTTGTGTGTCAAGCTTTGCTCTCGATCGAATCGTTTTGCATCTGGCATTTGGATATAAAGTTATATTTATTCATTTCTGGGGGTATAAAAATGGAGAAAATTGCAACTTGAATGCAACACGAATCAAAATTGAATCAAACTTGAATCAAACTTGAATCAAACTTGAGTCAACCCTGAGACAACCCTGAGTCAAACTTCAGCCAAACTTGAGTCAAACTTGAGCCAAACTTGGGCCAAACTTGAGCCAAACTAGAGCCAAACTTGAGCCAAACTTGAATCATACTTGAATCAAACTTGAATCAAACTTGAATCGAACTTGAATGCAATCATTTTAACGAATATTAAAATTGTTTTGCCCCTGACATTTGGATATAAAGTAATATTAATTTATTTCTTACCACATAAAAGTGGAGAAGACGAGAAAGGGAAATAAAATACGGATCTTTACGAACCATTCGCGAAACGAAAGTCGATAAAAGACTGGCACCTTCCTGGTGTGGTTAATTGCGGCCATTGGAAGCAGACATAAAAAAATTAACTATTTCACGTATATATATATACATCGAATCGTAAATCGAACTCGATCTATTCAAGGACCACCACTTCCACAACGTCGTTTTTACGACTTCGAGACCGTATTCAAGATATTTCACGGATTAACTGTTCCGGGCAGAACAAAACGCCCATCGGGAAAATATGAAAAATGTATTTCATCGAAGTGGAAATGAAATATTTCTCGACGTGGACGAGTTTAGAAACTTATTAAGAATTCACCGGCGTTAAAAACCTATAACAGGAAATGGAATCTTTTGATCTACGAAGGACATATCGAACAGTAATATTTAATCGATTGGCCAGTTCCCGGAGAAACTCGATCGTTATCGAGCAAACACACGCGCTCGGTCGAAGGCGTCGCTTTTTTTATTCCCTTTCCGCGAACGGAACCATTCCGTGAAACGTTGCGAGCAAACAAACGCGGCAATTTTCTTCTTTCCGCTGTTCGGCGACGGGAGAAACGAAGAGTAACGCGGGCCACGGGACGCCAAAGGAAACTTTACCGCCGTGAAAAATTTCGTGCGTGCAAGAAAACATGAATGCTCAACGTACGAGTGCGCGACGCGAAACTTTACAACGTTACGCGAATGTAAATTTGTATTTCGCGTACCTGGCGACGAAAAAGGACACTGGAGTTAAAGTTACAAATAATTTTAGTGGTTCCTCAAAGACTGAAGGCCTCAAGGATTTTCGAACGCGATACGTGGAAGGTGTCGAGGAAAAAATTTTGAGTGAGGACATCCTGGGGAGTTCGTTGCACCCAGGCCGATCGTTCAAGGCGACGAGGAGGACAGAGAATGTAAACAGAGTGTATTCCCTTCGACTATAAGGGTCTCGCGATAAGGAATCGACGGTGCTTAAATTAATACAGAGCGTGGAATTATTCTGGAGGCACGAATGGCACCATCGGAACGGCTACGAGAATTTACTGAAACAATATTGTTCGCTAAAACAATATTACGCGTGGGCTGTACAGGTTGACCGCCCCAGCTGGACGCGCATGGATCAGTTACCTGAAACGCTACGCCATCCTTAATAGCTAATTGAGATGTTAATTGCGATACACTGGGGCTTGAAATTGTGTATTTTGTGGGGGAAGAACTGTGGAAGATGTGGGTTTTATTTGTGGGATTGTTGTGGGCTTTTGATTATTTTGTTAGGTAATCTGGGTTGAAACTGGAATTTAAATTTAATTCAATTTGCACCCTAAAACGTTATAATTAACACCTTGCATTGTATGAAATTATTTTGATAGAAGCAACTTGAATGGGGCTTGAATGCAACTTGAATGGAGCTTGAATCAGGCTTGAATCAGACTTGGATCAGGCTTGAATCAGACTTGGGGCAGACTTAAGTCAAACTTGAGTCAAACTTGAATCAGACTTGAGTCAGACTTGACTCAGACTTGACTCAGACATGAATCAGACTTGAATCAGACTTGAATGGTGATTGAATGCAACTTGAATGGAGCTTGAATGTCACATGAATACAACTTCAATACCACATGAATGCTACTTGAATGAAACTTGAATAGAGCTCCAATTGAGCTTGAATGCAACTTGAATGGGGCTTGACTACTACATGAATGCAACTTGAATGGAACTTGAATGCAACCATTCTAAGGATCATTAACATTGCCCATTACCCCTCCAGAACTAAACACATATTCCTAACATCAAATTTCTTTGTTCCCTGCCACAAATTGTAATGTATATTATGTAGTGGATCGTGGAAAGGGTTGAGGGGAACGCGTCAGGGGGCAGGAGAGGCTCCCGGCGGAAGACGCATGGGCGGAAAACGGAGAACAACTCGAACGAACACGGCGAAATCGATACGAAACCGGAGTATCCGTCGTAAAAGCGTCTCACGGCTGGTTCGAGAGCGTTTTATTTCCAACCGAGCGGCACGCGAGCCTTCGTGGAAAACGATAAAGCATCGTCACGGATACAGCCATATTCCAGCCCGCCGGCATATTGACGGACACACTCGGACAGTAATGCGTTACGAGTGTGGCGATACCAGATAGGCACTACGCGCGTAATGTGTAATCGCGCGACGCATTATGATTCACTATCGCACGCGACCGCGATAAACTCCGTGTGTTTAGTCGCGTACACGACGGGGCCCAGCTGCCGGCAGCCAGGCTGCGTTTCCATCCTGTAAAACCAACGATCCGGTGCATGCAATTCCACACCAACCACTAAACTCTCCCTCCTAAAAAGACAGAAGAGGGGAGGGGGGCAAAGAATCAGAGTGGTTTTGAATTTTCGATCGAGCAGAACCGACTTTTCTCGATGGACGACGCTGGAGTCCCGTTCCTGGCGAACAGAGGGAAACGAGAACGACGCGAAATCTTATTTACTCGGACGCCACGGTCGTTCGTCTCTCCCGGAAGAGATCACCGAGGAAGCTGGATGGGAAAAAGTCCGCCTCCGCCGCGAGGATCTTTACGTGTCTTGACCGTAGAAAGCGGTACAATGCCCTCTGCCAAACAACCGGTCGTAACTCGGGACCAGATAAAAGATATCTTCTCCTCCCTTTCAGTTACAGCCTTCCCTCCGCCTCACTGGAGACGCTGTTCCTCGTTTCGACCGCTCGAAATCGCACGCGAGACCCTCGATATCTCGTTCGATCAACTTCGACCGCTCGAAATCGATATATAGATCACCTCAAGAGTGAAATTAGAGGCCTGCAAAGTTGCTTTCCACTTCCACTGAGGATGCAAATGGAAGATTCGATCAAATGCTTGATGAAGAAAGGAAGTTTGGGTAGTGAAAGTTCCAGGACAGCGTCGCGGAGCGAAAAATCGAATCACGGCGGGAAATTTAGCGAGCACTCGGTGCTGGACAATGCCAGATCCACGCGGAGCGATTGTTCACGAGCCGGCCGCGGGCTGTTCCAAGTTTAAACGGGGCAACATTTGTCCCCGAGAAACGGTGCGTTTCGCCTCTTTACGAATTCTTGCGCGCGATCGTCGGGCCCGTGCCCGACGGCGCCGCGGAACAAAAGAGGCTGAAAATTCGATTTGATCCAGAAAGTTCCCGGGGACGTCGTAGTTTAAAATTTCATCCAACCGGTAAGTTGGGTGGGGGGGAGTCGCTCGGAGCGTTCCTCCTCGTCCAACGACCGGCGGAATTCGACCTCGGAGGAGTCGTGATAAATTTCGACCGACTTTTATTGCGGGGACCCCCGAGTTCGAGCGTGCCTTAACGTCCCGGGGATTCCCGGACGTTTTATCGGCAGTTGAAGAAGTTTTACCAAGTTCCACATCGCTCGGATGGGACAAAGTCGTTTGCAAAATTACAATTACGACCGCCAACAGCGCGATTTCGACGCGAGGATCGAACGAGTGATCTCCGAGCGTGAATTTTCGAGAATCGTTCGGAACGAGCACAATTACGGGCGTTTTGCACCCGACGGAGACTTTTATCGGGCTTCGAGGCAGCGACGATGCGTCGGAGTTTATGATGTACGTGTGTCGCGAGAGAGGAGCGCATAATGCGGGCATTGCAGTTGCTGGTTATTACACGAAACGTGTAACGTTCAACGGGGGAGGTGCAAACTGCCTTTTTATCGCGTTGTCGCCTCGCTTGGTAACCTGTGCTTGGAAATTTCTGTAGTTTACGATCGAGACAACTGAGTCACTGATAATCGTTTGACATCTTCTTTGGCTTCCATTGGAATTGTTATACTTGATACAAAAAGAAATGATCCTTGAAGCTTTTGATAAACACAAATTTAAACGACAAAAGCAGTTTTTTTATATGTTTTACACCTCTTTTACGACAAACTGTCCACGACTAGTGCAACAATGGCGGGATTGTACGGGTTCCTGGGTCGCCAGGAGCTGTGTTTGAAAATTCTCTACGCTTTACGACGCGACAACGAAGGCAGTAGTGATTTTGAGAGCCAGATATCGTACGGAGTTCGCGTTATCCTGTAAATAAAAGAGGAGGACCCGAGTCTCGACGCCTCTACGCCGAGTTTCCATCGGAAATAACAGAAATAGCGTCTCGAGGAACGCGGTTGTCCCAGGAAACAGAGAAGGATCGAGGTTTTCCGCGTTCCACGCGAACGTCCAATCAATATGCAAGAATTCCGCGGGCCCGCGATGGTGTTATTATACGCCCGGTATTACATTGATTTACGCTCGTTATTCGTCATCGTCGTCGTCGCTAACAAAGTCGAGCGTTTTACAATAGCCTAAATGACGTCCTCCTGTTTCGATTTCGAGCT